TTTGTTTAAAACTGAGTTCTTCTTGGTGTCGATGGGAGTTTGATTCTTGTATCCCATTGATGATCCAAGCACGTAGCTTCATGGAACTTTATATCCTCTTCTTGACTTGATGTCTTCGAAGAACTTGCGAGGCAAGTTTGGAACTCGAAATGAGTTTAAGAACTCTAAACGAGTTTTAGAACTCTGTAAAAGAGTTAATTTCAAAAAAGAACTGATCCTTTTTAACTGGAATAAGCCGATCAGTTCTTCAACCGAAAATGGTTCAAAAGCCAAGCTTTCAAAGCACCAAAAGCTCCAACCAAAGCCAATTCAAGATGATCCTAAAAGGATCCTTTTGTAGTTGACTTCTCAACTATTTATAAGGGTTTAAGAGGTGTAACCGCCTCCTTAAATTACTCATTAATGAGAGTTTAATGCCCTTAATTCCTGCAAAACAGTTTTGGAACCGTTTAAAACGTGTTTGAATGGGTCAAACGCGAGATTCGTGTTTTGAAAACGACCCTCGCGTTTAGAACTGAAAACACGGTAGTGAGCTCCGCGTTTTGAACTTGGAACACGGTGGTGAGCTTCGCGTTTTGAGCTTGGAACGCGGTGATGAACTTTCGCGTGTTGAACTTGGAATGCGGTGATGAGCTTCACGTTTTGAGCTTGGAATGTGGTGATGACTTCCGCGTGTTGCTTTGAAGAGATCATTAACTTGTAATCTCTTCTGTTAGAGTGTTGCAAGGATTATCATCTTGTAATCATGACCTTTGGCTCTTTGAGATGTGAGAGTCATCAGTTTGTAACTCTCGTTTGTTATTGCGAAAGTTGTCAGATTATAACTTTCATCATCAGTTGTTGTGAGAATCGTCAAATTATAACTCTCATTGATTGATATGAAAGTCATCAGATTGTGACCTCCATTATTTGTATTTTATGGGGATTAGCTATATGCAGTGATTTTTAGACAGCCTACACTTTCTTCTTGAACACCCATTTATAGTCAACGATCTTCTGTCCCCTCGGTGGCTTTGCTAATTCCCATGTCTGGCTCTTGTGAAAAGACTCCATCTCTTCAATCATCGCAACAGTCCAATCTGTAGCCTCATTGTCACTAATAGCCTCCTTATAGGTAGAAGCCTCTGGAATCTCAATCGACTCTGTTATACTCAAAGCATAAACAAGCATATCTGCATAACGTTGAGGAGGTCGGATTTGCCTTTTTGTTCTTCCGGTGGTAATATTATAGTGTTGCTCTTGTAGTGTATCAGCATCTGAAGTTGAACCTTTCGTAGTGTCAACTAGTTCAACAAGAGCGTCCTCAAGCACTCTCTTTAAAGCTGAGTTTCTAGCTCCACCTGCTTGCTAGACTCCTTTTAGTACCTGTGGTATTAATAACAAAATCATTTCTCGGGTAAAACATTGATTTCTCATCAAAAGTAACACCCCTACTAATAATAAACTTAGGTGATTTGGGATCAGAACACCACAATCTATATCTCTTCACACGAGTAGCATATCCTAGAAAGATAGCTTTATTTGCTATGATTCAAGCTTACTATCATTAATATGAAAATAAGCAGAGCGATCAACTTCTCTTAAATGAGAGTAATTAGCAGGGGCAATAGACCATACCTCTTCTAGAGTCTTAAAATTAATTGTTGTAGAAGGGGATTTGTTTATCAAATAGCAAGCTGTATTGACTGATTCGGCCCAAAAATGTTTTGACAAACCGGCATTAGAGAGCATGCACTGAGCTCTCTAAAAGTGTTCTGTTCATTTTTTCCGCAACTCTATTTTGTTGTGGTGTATGACGAGCTGTACGATGACCCACAATACCTTCATTCTTGTAGAATTGGTCAAACTTTACGAAACAAAACTCCAACCCATTGTCGGTTTTGAGGCGCTTCACTTTCTCTTCTGTTTGCTTCTCAATCATAGCCTTCCATTGCTTCTCAATTATAGCTCTTCTTTCTCATCATCGAGCATAGATTCTAGCAACTTATTCTTTCCGGACAAGATTTTGAACATTCCTTATTATACTAGGAGATCCCTCATTTTTACACTCTACAAACTGAAGCTATTTCTCCCATCGAATTTCTCAACTTTGTATTTTGCAGAAGATATTTTGAAGCCCACTAGAACAGTAATTGTAATTGTGAACATTAACCATAGTTATGAATAGTAACAATACTTATGAATAGTACCGTACTCGTGAATCTAACTTATTTTCTAATGTGGAGGATCCACTTTTAGTAGCACCTACAGAGTATACGATAAACAAATACATGCACTTTAAGTC